CAAAGTAATAAAGAAAGCCAAACAACTATACTACTCCAGTAGATTCACAGACACTAGAGGAGATATAAAAATGACCTGGAAAACACTCTCTCAGATTCTAGGGACCACAAACTGAAAAAAAAACAAGAATATTGTCCTAACTAAACCTAATGAAACACCACTACATCCCACTGACACAGCTAACAAGATAAACGACTTCTTCTCAACCATAGGATCTAATCTCGCCAATAAAATCCCACATACTAATGCCCATGCCGGGACTACCTAGATGGGAATTTCCCAAATTCCTTCTATCTTGCACCAACTGAGCCCTCGGAAGTCACCGAGATTATAAAGTCACTTAAAAACAACTCAGGGAATCTGTCTAATGTCCCCACCATTACTGTACAAGCGAGCGGCCCATATCCTTTCGCATGCTATTTCATTACTTTTTAACAAGTCACTAGAAACTAGCACCTTCCCAAAACTACTCAAGATGGCAAGGGTTACACCAATACATAAAGGTGGTGACCCTACAGACTTAAACAACTATAGCCAATATCAAACTTACCATTGCTATCCAAAATCTTTGAGAAACTCGTGCACAGGAGACTATATTCATTTATAACAGCACAAAAACATACTCAACCCCTGCCAATTTGGATTCAGGAAAAATAAAAGCACTAATGATGCAATCATAAAAATGCTAGATCTGCTTTACACAGCATTGGAAAATAAGGAATATCCACTAGGAATTTTATTGACCTAAGAAAAGCTTTCGACACAGTAGACCACGACATCCTACTTCACAAACTTGACCATTTACGGTATAAGAGGCCATGCGCTTGCTTATTTCAAATCTTACCTTACTAATAGGTATCAGTATGTTACCATTAAAGACACAGCATCAACAAACATGGCCACTTGATACTGGAGTTCCGCAGGGAAGTGTCCTTGGTCCCCTGCTCTTCCTCATATACATCAATGATCTTCCAAACGTATCCCAACACCTGAAACCCATTCTCTTTGCTGACGACCCGACTTATGTCATCTCTCTCACCCTAATCTTGCCACCCTCAACACCATTGTTAACAAGGAGCTAATCAAAATATCGACTTGGATGACAGCCAATAAACTTACGCTTAACACTGACAAAACCTACTATATTATGTTTGGTAGCAGAGCAGGAGATGCACAAATTAACATTAAGATCGACAACACTCTAATTACCAGACATAATGAGGGAAAATACCTAGGCTTATTACCTTGACACAACCTGAATTTCAGCACCCATATCCAACACATAACCAAAAAAGTATCCAAAACAGTTGGGATCCTCTCCAAGATACGATACTACGTGCCGCAAAATGCCCTTCTCACACTATACCACTCACTTATTTATCCATACCTCACCTATGCTATTTGTGCTTGGGGATCAACTGCAGCAACACACCTAAAGCCAATAATAACCCAACAAAAAGCTGCAGTAAGAATAATCACTAAATCCCATCCCTGGCAACACACCCCCCCACTCTTCATAGATCTAAACTTACTCCCTGTTCAGTACATCCACACTTACTACTGTGCAATCTACATCTACAGGACCTTAAACTCCAATATCAACCTTGACCTAAAACGCTTTCTTGATAGTTGTGACAGAACCCACAGGCATAACACTGTGCCAAAACAAAAGCATTCACATTGCTTAACTCACAAACTAGTATTTAGTCACTTAGCCATAATACCAACTTACCTCATAATTTGTAATATTTTAAATAAAGAATTAAACTAAGTCTGCCCGAAATGCCTAGCCATGCTAGGCGTTCTAGTGGTACACTCTGTAATCATTATTTAACTACATGTAAACCACACAACAACCAAATTCTGTAAATTCAACATTGTAATCTTTATAGAGAATAAACTTTGAATTTGAATTTGAATTTGAATTTGCTATCTACTATCATTAACTCCCACCAAATCTTGATCTTCATAACTCTTTCCTTCCCTTCTTCTCTCTCTCTCTCAATCTTCCTCCTACCCTCACCTTCCCTCTCTCTTACTCATTCTCCCTCTGACTCACCCTCCCTCTCATTCACCTTTCACTTACCCTCCCTGTCACTCACCCTCCCTCTCATCCATCTTGCTCTCATTTATTCTCCCTCTCATTTCTTCTACATCTACCTGTCCCACTACACTGAGTTGTAGACAACCTGCCAAGAATAGACTTTCATCTCTGTTAAAGTTGTTTTGGAGGTAAATGTAATCTCTATTATTTCCTGTCTTACACGTATCCTGTACTATGTTATTTACTCCTATAATTTTTCTAAGGGCATACTGTGCCTGTGCTCTAAATGAGATGTTGTGGTTCAGAGGGTGATCTGAACTGTAATGTGAGTACACCTTTGGCAAGGCACTGAATGAATGATGGTGAATGGGTTTCCTTTTTCTGGGTCACCCCACCTCAATTAAACGTGGATGGTATGTTAAAAAATAAAAAATACTATTTACATTATATCATAGAAGCAATCTACCCTAATCTCTAATTTAGTCAGCTTAAGTTATCTTTACAAAACTTCTTCTCTTACCTCCCTATATCATTTTTTCCCACATATACCAGTATACAGAACACATCATGGGGGGAAATTTTTTTGTTATATCATTAATCTAAGTCCCCAGAAAGAAGATTTTTTTTTCTACAAAGTATGGTGCAAATTTTGTGTTTTAGCTTTTATTTCATCCTTTCTTTCCTCCTCTTCCTTCCTGTAGAGTAACTCAATGAGGAACTCAATTGTTTTTACAAGTAGTGTTGCATTTCACTAACAACTACAATCTTGCTGGGCTTAGAACCTTTCCTTCCATCCTAAATTTATTTGGTGGTCTGCTATTTCTCCACATCCACATACCTTCGATGGAAGTGCCTTAATGCTGGTAAAATGCTCTTGATCCTGGGAATTGGAGCTATCCTCCATCTCCTTGGATCAACCATGACTGCCTATTTCCCAGGCACTGTACAGTGGACCCCCGGTTCGCGAAGCCATCGGTATCCGATAAATCCAGTATCCGAAGCATTATATCGCAAAAAATTTGCCTCGGTTCCCATTACAAAGTCCTAATGCAGGGAGATTCCCCTTCTAAACATTAAAAACTTCAACACTCTCCCCTCCTCCCATCCCATCAATCATCACCAGATCTTCATTAACCCTTTGAGGGTCGACAGGCCCTCTCCGAAACTCGTTCTCAGGGTCGGCCAAATTTAAAAAAAAAAAAAATTATTTTCTCTTATGAAAAGATAGAGAATCTTTTCCCGATCATAAAGACACCAAAAGTTTGAAATTTGATAGAAAACTTACGGAATTATGCTCTCGCAAAGTTAGCGGTCTCGGCGATGTTTACGCATCGGCGATTTTTCCCACTTTGAGCCCCATTTTCGGCCAATTTCACTGTACTAGTCGACAAAAAACATGAATATTTCGCTAGAACTCCATTTTTTCTATCGAATGGGTGCAAGAAATCACCCATTTATGAAATTCAACTATCCAGTACAGTGGTCAGAATTTAGCAATTTTGCCAATTTCACACAAATTTCAAAAGATGCCAATTTCCGAATAGGGTCCAGACTAAACAAGAAAGACATTCCTGGCACTAAAATGACATTTCCTCTAGTCATTAGTCACGTCTCAAGGCCCCTCTTATATTCTTTTGCTTTCCACTTTGAATTTTTTATTTTCACAAAAAATATAAGATTTACTGTTATGCAGACTACTGCATTAGTGTAAAAAATGGTATAAATATTATTGGTGCACTTGTGAAAGAATATTAGACTCACCAGTTGACGTGTATTGCACGCTTGGCACGATTTGTTTACTTTTGAAGTTTGGTAAAAATCGAACATTTCTGCTACTTTGAGCTCAATTTCAAGGCACCTTTCATTGTAAAACCAGTCAAAATCATCTCAATTTCTGTAATATGTCTTCCATTCTATAAAATGAGACCAAGAAAACTAGAATACAACAATAAATACCATACGAAAATACACTGCAAAGTCGCTGATTTATTAAAAAAAAATGGTCAAAGTTTTTTTTTCTCATTATGCACTGTGTGCTGCAGGATTTTTTTTAGACTGTGCACACTGACCACATAGACCCATTCTTTCATATGAAGGCCTACCAGCTTTCTCCCACTAGATTTGAGGCCGCTAGAATTTATGAGTACTAGTACGTCAAAAACCCCTACGCGTAAGACGTACTAGTACGACCAAAACCCTCAAAGGGTTAAAGGTAAGTGTCAATTATTCTATTGTGATTATTCTATGGTTATTATTGTTATTGTAATTATTATATTGCATTAAACTTAAGTATTTCATGTGGTAAAAGTTTTTTTTTCATACTTTTGGGTATCTTGCACGGATTAATTTGGTTTCCATTATTTCTTATGGGGAAAATTGATTCGTTTTCTGATAATTTTGGTTTACGATGAGCTCTCAGGAACGGATTAATATCGTGAACTGGGGGTCCACTGTATTTAATCCACCTCCAAACTAACCTGTCAATGAATACTTTTTCTCTTTTAAATTATTCACAATTTTCTTTCCTATCATGTTTTCCTCACATAATAGTTGTCCTGATTTACAGAGGGAGTGTGGAAAGTCTGTGGTACTATGTTACAGTAGGAGTGAGGAGAGTCTGTGGCCTTGCCTTATGGGTGAAGAGGAGGGTCTGTGGTCCTGAGTTAGTGTGGTTGTGGAGAATCTGCTCTTGCCTTATTTATGGGGAGGTCTGTGATCCTGAGTTACAAGAACCACCTGCTGTCTTGTTTCATTCATCTGATGCCCAAACCAAAATAGGAAAATCTTAAACAAATGTAGGTATGCATTCATTCAGAGGTCTTAAAACACCTGAGAGTTATTCAAATGTCTTAGAGATGCTTTATGATCTTTTCCCCAAGGAAAAGTGGTACTGAAGAGAAAGTAAGGAATAAGGATACTTAAAAAATAGCTTAGAAAAACTAGGTAAAACCCTCACCATATTTTTTTTCGTCATGTTGTCATTGAGATCAGGTAGGTCAGGAGGATCAAGGGCATATTTCTTGCGAAGACCAGAGTAGCAGTACTTGGAGGCACCACGCTGGCCAAGTCGTCGTGGTCTCACCCCTGGAAACACTTGCTTCATCACTTTACCAAAGTCTGCTGTGCTCAGAGCTTTGATGTTGTTGAGGTTGCAGTAATGCCTGTGAAAAATGTTCAAGTGTTAGTATACAAAATGTATTAGTTTAAACAGATATACATGTATCACATTCCACTACAGCCTGCATGTAGCTCTTATATTTAATTACTCTTCAAGAGGGCTGTCTTTATGCTAGGACTCTAGATCCAAAAAATTGGAGCTATCATCCATTTCCCACATCAAATCTTATTACCTCCCATTCCCCAGGCAACGTATGGCTCCTACATACATGTACTTAATGTACCTCCATGAATATTATAATAATCAAGACATTAATTCCTCCCTCATATCCCCTCATTCTGTTTACAATACACAGTACAGTATTTTATCCTCTTTCCCATGTTTCTAAGTTTTACATCTGTGATCATCATCTATTGCCACACACAACCTGCACTGAACTTCCCTATTGCCTACATGATCAACATGACAGAATCCAAACATGATCCTTCTTTTGGTTCATACTGAAGCCCATAACATGAGTACACTTAGGTAGCACACCTGTCAATTGCTTATATGATAGAGAATTGAATCCCCAAAAATGTTCTTCTCAAAATGATGCACAAAGTTTTTGTGCTTCACAAAATAATTTTAATAATAGCAATAGCAATAGCAATAGCAATAATAATAATAATAATAATAATAATAATAATAATAATAATAATAATAATAATAATAATAATAATAAGAATAAGAATAAGAATAAGAATAAGAATAATAAGAATAATAATAATAAATATCTACTAGTTGAGACACTTCTCTAATTGTACTACAATGATGAAAATGCATATTTAAGAAATTATGAAAAGTTACTAATAACAATGATTAAAAACACAGTAATACCATACATAAATACACGACTTATGGACTTAATTAACGCCAGAAGAGTCAAGGTTCTTGTTGCACACAGGCAAGAATGCATTACTGATAATAATGTACCTGTAGCAGACCTAATGATCATCAGCAATAACTAGTATTCAACAAACAAGTATATTTGACAGACTAACCTGTTTTTATCTATGTACATACATCTGTTATTTGTTCTGGGGATCATTGCACCCCCCATGGTTCGCTCTCGGACTAGGCCTTATATATTTGAAAGGAAATATTACACAGGAAAGCAAGATGCATACCGAATATCGGTAGAAATACTGCAGATGTTTCTCGCTTTACAATGGTTCGACTTTCAATATTTTGACTTTATGATGGTGTGATAGCAATGCACATTCAGTACAGTGGACCCCCGCATACCATTGGCATCACATACCATTTATTCAGCATACCGCTCACTTTAATCACAAAAATTTTGCCTCGCATACCGCTCAAAAACCCGCTCACCGCTGTTCGTCCGAGACGCATCCAATGTGCGCCTTAGCCAGCCTCACATGTTCCGCCGGTGGCATTGTTTACCAGCCAGCCTCCGCGGTAGCATCCAAGCATACAATCGTAACATTTCGTATTATTACAGTGTTTTTGGTGATTTTATCTGGAAAATAAGTGACCATGGACCCCAAGAAAGCTTCTAGTGCCAACCCTACAGCAATAAGGGTGAGAATTACTATAGAGATGAAGAAAAAGATCATTGATAAGTATGAAAGTGGAGTGCATGTCTCCGAGCTGGCCAGGTTGTATAATGAACCCCAATCAACCATCGCTACTATTGGTGGTACAGCTGCTGCTGCTGCTGCACTGTCAGCTGCTGCTGCTGCTGTAGCATCATCTGCTGCTGCTGTAGCATCGTCTGCTGCTGCTGTAGCATCGTCTGCTGCTGCTGTAGCATCGTCTGCTGCTGCTGTAGCACTGTTGTTGGTGTGGCTTATTGAGAATATACCAAGAAACAATTAACCCCAGAGGATTTGCCACCCAGGATAACCCAAAAAAGTCAGTGTCATCGAAGACTGTCTAACTTATTTCCATTGGGGTCCTTAATCTTGTCTCCCAGGATGCAACCCACACCAGTCGACTAACACCCAGGTGAACAGGGAAAAATGCCTGGAACTAGTGCTCATATTGGTGAATTTAAAGCCAGCAAAGGTTGGTTTGAGAGATTTAAGAATCGTAGTGACATACACAGTGTGATAAGGCCTGTTCTGGAAGAAAATGCCAAACAGGACCTAGAGTACTCAGGAGGAAAAGGCACTCCCAGGACACAGTGTCTCATCAGTCATTGCTGCATCTTCAATAAAGGTAAGTGTCATTTATTCTTCATTTAGTAGGGTAGTACATGCACAATATATACTGTGCATGTACTACTCTACTACTGTGCATGTATCCTTCTCTTTGTGTGTAGGAAAATGTATATTTCATGTGGTAAAATTTTTTTTTTCATACTTTTGGGTGTCTTGCACGGATTAATTTGATTTCCATTATTTCTTATGGGGAAAATTCATTCGCATACCGATTATTTCGCATACCAATGAGCCCTCTTGCACGGATTAAAATCGGTATGCGGGGGTCCACTGTAGTTATCAAACTTTCATAGGATAAACGTTTTTTTGTTTTGTTTTTTTTCAACAAGTCGGCCTTCTCCCACCGAGGCAGGGTGACCCAAAAAAGAAAGAAAATCCCCAAAAAGAAAATACTTTCATCATCATTCAACACTTTCACCACACTCGCACATTATCACTGTTTTTGCAGAGGTGCTCAGAATACAACAGTTTAGAAGCATACACATATAAAGATACACAACATATCCCTCCAAACTGCCAATATCCCAAACCCCTCCTTTAAAGTGCAGGCATTGTACTTCCCATTTCCAGGACTCAAGTCCGACTATATGAAAATAACCGGTTTCCCTGAATCCCTTCACTAAATATTACCCTGCTCACACTCCAACAGATCGTCAGGTCCCAAGTACCAATCGTCTCCATTCACTCCTATCTAACACGCTCACGCACGCTTGCTGGAAGTCCAAGCCCCTTGCCCACAAAACCTCCTTTACCCCCTCTCTCCAACCCTTTCGAGGACGACCCCTACCCCACCTTCCTTCCCCTATAGATTTATATGCTTTCCATGTCATTCTACTTTGATCCATAAACTTACATTCATTTATTTAGTATAAACTTATATTCATTTATTATTTTCATAGGATAAACTTATATTCATTTATTTAGTACAGTGGACCTTCGAATAACAATATTAATCTGTTCCTGAGAGATCATCGTTACTTGAAATTACTGTTAATCAAATTAATTTTCCCCATAAGAAATAATGGAAATCCAATTAATCCCTTCCAGACAGCCAAAAGTATTAAAAAATAATTTTTTTTTTCATGAAATATATATTTCCCTACAAAGAAAACAATGAGACATGCACAATAACTATATAAATGTTAAAATGACACTTACCTTTATCGAAGAGTATTGATGAGCGATGAGACACTGCTTTTCTTGAACACTCTGGGATTTTCAGAGTGATACACGAGTAAAGGCTTCATTTTGCAATCCCCACTAGCATTACAACAAAACAAGAAAGTTAGCCTGTCTTTCATAGGCTTGTGTCCTGGGAGTGCCTTTTCCTCCTGAGTAATGTAGATCCTGTTTGGCATTTTCTTCCAGAACAGGCCTGTTTCGTCACAACTGAACACTTGTTGGGGTTGGAATTTTTCAGCTTCGCCATGCCTTATCACACTGTGTATGCCACTACGATTCTTAACCCTTTCAGGGTCCAGAGGCCAAATTTCAAAGTGCACACCAGTGTCCAAGAATTTTCAAAAAATAATTTTGTTATTTTTTCTTATGAAATGGTAGAGAATCTTTTTCTGAAGGTAATAAAACAAAAAGTACGAAATTTGATGGAAAATTGACGAAATTATGCTCTCACGAATTTTGATGTGTCAGAAATATTTGCGCATTGGCGATTTTGCCGACTTTGACTCCCATTTTAAGCCAATTACCTTATTCCAGAGGACCAAATTCTTAGCTATTTCACTAGTATTACTTTTATTCTATCGATTGAGCATAAGAAATTGCCAACTTAACTGTTTCAACTACAAAATAAAGTGATTGGAAATTGGTAATTTAGCCAATTTAGTGCAAAGTTCAAAATATTCCAATTTCAAAATAGGGTCAAGAATAAACAATGCAGGCATTCCTGGCACTAAACTAACATTTTCTCTGTTCATTAGTTATGTTTTCAGGCTTCACAAATGAATTCCATTTTGATTTTTAATTCACATAATGAATTTTTATTCAAACCAAACAATAGAAGATTTACTGTCATGCAATATTGTAATAATTGTATAAATAATATCAGCACATTTGTGAATGTATATTAGACCCACCAACTGGCGTGTATTAGACATGTGAGGTCATATGTTTATTCTTGAACATAGGCAAAAATTTAAAATTTCCACTACTTTGAGCTCAGTTTCAAGCCTTTTTCACTACTAAAACCAATCAAAATCATCTCTATTTCTATAATATATCTTACATTCTATCAAATGAGACCAAGAAATCGCAAATATAACTGTAAAAAACATACGAAAAACATTGCAAAGTTGCTGCTTTAATCGAAAATTACGGTCTCAGTTTTTTCTCTCATTATGCACTGTGTGCTGCAGGATTTGTTTTATGTGGTGCACACATACCACATAGATGTATTCTCTCATATCTAGGCCCAAATTTACCACTCACAGCTTATTAGAGTGAGCCGAGCTCATGGCGTAGATCTATGGTTTGGATCCTCAATGTAAAGCCGTAGATCTACGGCACGGACCCTGAAAGGGTTAATAAATAACAAAGAAAAACACTGATTTATAGCAAAATGTTTGGATGAATGAGCAAAAGCTTCCTCACTCGGCCAGTGACACAGCTACACTGACTCAAGAACATGCGAGCGTCGCCGGCCAATAAGTGTTCAATACGGCCGATAAGCGAAATAACAGCCAATAACTGGAAGCCGAAAAACCGGCCGATAAGTGAGTTGGCTGATAAGTGGAATGGCTGATAACCGAGGGTTCACTGTATTTTCAACTTACAATGGGTTCATTGCAACATAACCCCATCATTAAGTCAATGAGCACGTATTTACCTGTTAAATGCAAATGTGCCAGAGTGGAAAACTTTTAACAGGCTTCAGTTTCACATTCATATGACAAGATGGTAGCACCTCCCCAGATAACTGCTGTCTACCAACCTCCTGCCTATACGTATTGTGTCAGGTAAGTGCACAGTTTTTAATGAAAAAAAAATTGATCCTATGGTAGCCTAATGACAATCACGTGATTGAGTGTGATTGTTTTAGGGTGTTATATTTTAATTATAAATAGGGATCATGCAAGAAAGATGAGGCCGTGCAGCCAATAACAAATACTCACGTATATTCGTTGTAAACCTCACGTTTTGGCAGTGACACCTCACTATTCATCTCCAAGTGGGTTCGAATCCATGTTATAGTCAGCTGTATTTCACAACGGCTACCCAAGGGATTCAGTGGACTGCAAGATGTAATTTGAGCTTGTTTTTGAATGCTATCAGGTACAAAATTCTATATTAGATGCTGATAAGGAAAGGCATGTCTTAACAATTTTGAACTACAGTTACTGTTAAATATATGGCAATGCTAATGCAACATTCATAGTGAATACAAATATGGGGCAAATTAGTAATGAAAATAAACAGTATGTTTATGTATATATGTAATACAATAGACATGAACAGTTACATACTTAGCTGTTTTTAGTGCAACTGTAAACAATTCAAACAGAAATATATGGGGTTAGGGTGCAAATTATACACATATTAGAGTCTGGAAAAAAAAAACAGGAGGGATATCCCTATCTGTTAATGATTCCTGGGTCACCGACCCCAGAAAGTATATACAGCTTCTCCTCATTTAACGACGGAGTTCCATTCCTAAGACCTCGTCAGTAAACAAATTTGTCGCTAAGTGAGGAACATACTATAATGGTAGTGGGTTTGTGTCAACCATCTTTGATATTGTTTTAATGTCACCTTTGCACCATTTATAACATTTCTGGAATATTTTTAAATGTTTATACAGTAGTGTACTGTATATTGTAATAAATAGAATAGAGGAAATCAGCTCTAATATACATTATTTAGGAATGCATACTGGTCAGTGAGAACGTCATAAGTCCAAGTCATCGATAAACGAGTACGTCACTAAGTGAGGAGAGGCTGTATGTTGTAACTGATTATAAAATTAGAGTGAAGTCTAAAGCTATAGGCTAACAAATCTGATTATTGCATGTATAAAAGGGTAACAATGCAACCAATATGCCTACACATTTGAGTAAGAAATGGGTAAGAAGATTAAAAGTTCATAAAAAAAAAAAAAAGGTACGGGTGGGATTTGAACCCATGGCGAGGTTGCAGGGTACAGGTTCAAGCTAAGTAAACATGTGAGTATGAAGGGATACAGATGCAAGCTATACAAATACAAGCTATACACACATTTGAGTAGGAGAAAGAGCAAGTTTACGTACTGTTTGAGCGGGTCTGTGTCTGGGGGTCGTCCGACGGGTAGTTTGAGGTAAAGCAGGAACTTCTCCACGTCTGAGAGCTGGCTCACCTGCTGTACCAAGCTCTCCACCGTGCACTTGCTAGCCATGCTGAAACAACAAACACAACTTAGCATTATACATTCATCAATGTTATAGATTTAACAATAAGAACAACAATTTTTTATATGTGAAGTAAAAGGACACCTGTGCAACTAATGTGACATATGTGTCCTTTCACCCAACAAGGTATTATATATCTTTCCATCTTATGGCCTGAGACAACCTCCTTCCTTAATTGGATCATACCTTATTACCACCCATTCCTATACACTGTAAGACCCATACAAGTTTAGGTCTTCCCCATGAGTATTAATTAATAATAATATTATGAGGTTATAAAACTTCCCATCTCCAGGACTCAGGCCGGACTTGAGTCCTGGAGATGGGAAGTACAGTGCCTGCACTCTGAAGGAGGGGTGTTAATGTTGCAGTTTAACCCTTTGAGGGTTTTCGTCGTACTAGTACGTTTTACGCGTAGGGGTTTTTGACGTACTAGTACGCATAAATTCTAGCGGCCTCAAATCTAGTGGGAGAAAGCTGGTAGGCCTTCATATGAAAGAATGGGTCTATGTGGTCAGTGTGCACAGTCTAAAAAAAAATCCTGCAGCACACAGTGCATAATGAGAAAAAAAAAACTTTGACCATTTTTTTGGAATAAATCAGCGACTTTGCAGTGTATTTTCGTATGGTATTTATTATTGTATTCTAGTTTTCTTGGTCTCATTTTATAGAATGGAAGACATATTACAGAAATTGAGATGATTTTGGCTGGTTTTACAAAGAAAGGTGCCTTGAAATTGAGCTCAAAGTAGCAGAAATGTTCGATTTTTACCAAATTTCAAAAGTAAACAAATCGTGCCAAGCGTGCAATACACGTCAACTGGTGAGTCTAATATTCTTTCACAAGTGCACCAATAATATTTATACCATTTTTTACACTAATGCAGTAGTCTGCATAACAGTAAATCTTATATTTTTTGTGAGAATAAAAATTCAAAATGGAAAGCAAAAGAATATAAGAGGGGCCTTGAGACGTGACTAATGACTAGAGGAAATGTCATTTTAGTGCCAGGAATGTCTTTCTTGTTTATTCTGGACCCTATTCGGAAATTGGCATCTTTTGAAATTTGTGTGAAATTGGCAAAATTGCTAAATTCTGACCACTGTACTGGATAGTTGAATTTCATAAATGGGTGGTTTAGTGCACCATTCGATAGAAAAAATGGAGTTCTAGCGAAATATTCATGTTTTTTGTCGACTAGTACAGCGAAATTGGCCGAAAATGGGGCTCAAAGTGGGCAAAATAGCCGATGCGTAAACATCGCCGAGACCGCTAACTTTGCGAGAGCATAATTTCGTAAGTTTTCTATCAAATTTCAAACTTTTGGTGTCTTTATGATCGGGAAAAGATTCTCTATCTTTTCATAAGAGAAAATAATTTTTTTTTTTTTTTAAATTTGGCCGACCCTGAGAACGAGTTTCGGAGAGGGCCTGTCGACCCTCAAAGGGTTAAAAACTGTAGTGTAAAGCACCCTTCTGGCAAGACAGTGATGGAGTGAATGATGGTGAAAGTTTTTCTTTTTCGGGCCACCCTGCCTTGGTGGGAATCGGCCAGTGTGATAAAAAAAAAAAAAAAAAAAAAAACTGACACTTTGATAAGACACTATAACAAAATGGAAACTTTATTAACACAATGTTTTGCTTAGAGACCAAGCATTCACGTCAACAAGAGAGCTTGATCTCCAAGCTCTCTTATACAAAGTTGAGAAACCTTGGTCTCCAAGCAAACTATTGTCTTAATCAAGTGTCCATTCTTCTATAATGTCTTTTTTTAACAACAACAACAACAACAACAACAGAACAACAACAACAACAATGCAGGGTTTAACCTTCCTTAACGAGGAACTTACGTGACATCTTTACGGTGAATGTTCTTAAAATCCGACTCTGGGCGAAGAGAAACTCGGAACTCATCAAAGGTAAAGGCACTTTTAGGGTAGTAGTTTCCTTCTATCAACAGTCCTGTTCAAGCAACTGTCTTAGTTAAGAAATAAAATACCACGTGGATTTTATAATTCATGTGCTATACTTGTGTTGGTTTAACCCAAGACAAGCGATGACTTGCACTGCTCCTGTGAATTAGCTTATTCCATATCCTTGTCATCGCCACCTGATTATAGGCGTTATGGTCATCACTTTACTTCATAAAGGCAGAAAAAAGTTTTCACATGTACGGCAAGCTAGAGTGGACAGCTCATTTAGTTTTCGAATTAATAAAGGCGTGTTCTCTTGTTCTATCATTCTCGTTCTATCATTCTCTCATATTCTCATTCTCATTTATTCTCTCATATTCTCATTCATTCTCTCATTCTCTCATATTCACATTCTCATTCATTCTCTCATTCACATTCTCATTTATTCTCTCATATTCTCATTCATTCTCTCATTCACATTCTCATGCATTCTCTCATATTCTCATTCTCATTCTCTCTCTCTCTCGTACAAAAGTTGAAACAAGTACACAAAGCTTCTCACACTAGCATAAATATGCTATCTCTTACAGACATCAATTAATATTACATGCCACGATCATGTGATTATACATCCCACTCCACATTATTATAGGTTAAATAAATAATTAAAGGTTAATCCATACAATTATAGGTTATTCCATATAATTATATAGTTATTCCTTATAATTATCCCTTCAAAGGGGGAATGGTAGGTCAAGAAACTTGATCTACCCTTCCTTTCCCGAACCAAACTTGATTACTTCCCATTCCTTAGGCACTGTATTCACCAAGCTGTGTTTGCATGGGTCGATACTTAGCTCCTGGCCCTGCCCCCTAGACTACTTTGATTGCCATCCCTGACTTCTGGCAGCTTGGGCTTCATCGTATTTACTTTTGAAGCCTTGTACGTATTGAGTTTGCCTCCACCATTCCTCATCCAAGTCATTTCACTTTTTAATCAGCCTGAGACTAAAGAAATACTTCCTTACATCACTCTGGTTTGTGTATCTTTTCTGCTTGCACCCATGTCCACCTCCAGTCTGGTCCTCTTTCTTCAGTGTATCAGACCTCTCAATTTTAAATTCTGAACATAGTAATCATGTTCCTCCTTGTCTTTCTAAGGTCATCAGGTTCAGTTCCTTCAATCTATGTTTTGTTCTTCCCACAAATAATACAATCCACATAATTCAGTTGAACATTTTACTGTTCATCACTTTAATATATATTCATTCATCACTTTCGTTATTATACCGGTAAATGGTATAAAACCTGGTATAAATGGTATAAAACATGAAAATCTTGATGAACGATTAAAAACAACCCAAAGACGAATCATGTAGTAGCCTTCATAGTCTCTTAAGAGCACTGGTTTTGGCAGTTTTAAGGCTGCCTTGTCACAGGTTCAAACCTCACCCACATTACAGTCTGAAGTGGCTTCTATGAAGCATTCTTACAGTATCCTCAGTAAGAATGCAAGGGGTGGGAAAATAAGCAAAATGAAAGCAACCTTCAGGTATCCTTTAGGTCAGGGGTTCCCAACCTGGGGTGCATGCACCCACAGGGAAGTGCAAGATGGCATTTATTATTTTGTTTGAAATTTTTTGAGCTCAATTTGTTCATCCACAGTACTGTACTGGTTCAATTTGCAATTCAAAAAATAGAAATTTGACTTCTTCATCTTCAAGTGTGATATTACTTTTGTAGAGGACACAACATTAATCAAACATTTCCTAGGGGTGTTAGGCATAGAAAATGTTGGGAACCCCTGCTTTAGGTTGTGTGTACATTTTAAGGGAGACTATCAAACATCAACTGTTTCAATCCTAAGGAAGTAAAACCTTGTCTTGTTAAGGGAAGGAAAAAAACCTATTTATTCTGTGAAAAAAAAAATGGCATTGTTCCCTATGGTGTAAAACACTTTTTTTTTTTTTTTTGCCCTAAGGAATAAAAATTTGACTTATTTTTGGTTATAGTAAGATGATAAATCTGAAGAAGGCAGAAGCAGTATAGCCGGTGGCAAGGGTGGATCTATTTGAAACTAATGAAGCGTCAGGGCCCCTAATCCTGGAGGGGCCCCAGAAGCAACTTTAGTCCACAATGCTTAAAAATTTTGAGTTCACTGTATGAGAATGGGTTGCAAAAGGGCCCCATAACAGTTCAAGGTCCAAAAATATGTAGGTCCGCCACTGGCAGGAGGTGAGATGCGTGCCCACCACCAATGGAAGTTGCTGCATTTACGAAGAATTTTGACCCATTCACAATTCAGCTACAATTTAAGAGAACCGTTATACATGACATTTTGGTCTGTGGTGGACTATCATTATCAGGTCACAACCTATAAGGTCACTTAGCCCTTGCAACAATAAAGAATTAAAAAAAGCAGTACATCCCCCACTTATGCCCCTAATGCATCATGTAATATTGCATCTCAAAGTGTTCATAACTTGCAACTTGTTTTCTATACTGTAGACACCCATCTTATAACTGAAGACACATTGCTGAAGCATAATATTCTGTATCTAATATTATTAAATTATTTTTTTTAATGAGGATGATCGTAGGTTGAATATTCATAAGTCAGGTTACTATTGTGTAAGTATACATCAATATTATAAAAAAAAAAAGTGAAATAAAGGATGCGGTTGGGGGACACCACCCCTGCGACCTTGTCCCAACCAGTCCCCCGTGGTAAATCATGGCTACAACAGATTATGACTACAATAATTTACATAAACCCATAAAAAATTACAGCATACCTAACAGCAAGCAAGCAAATTAAAAAATAGGTCACGATGACTGGCAAGGAGGTGGCAGGAAAACTGGAAATGTTCAAATCTGGAGGATTATCACAGGTGGTGCAAGAATATGCTGCTAATATAGTGTTTAAAATGATATCCAGAAAAAGAGGAGGAGGAAGGGAGGAAATGGCACTGCAATATAGACACATGTATATCCACAGTGATGCCAAAATATTGCAGGTGAAAGTGGAAAAGGAAGTGCACAAGTGGCAAGGAGGGGAAGGTGAGAATATGAGGGTGGGGAGGTAATGACAAAGGGTCAGTAGAGTAAGTGGTTAAGTGAGGAAAAGGGAGGGAGAGAATGAGGGTGAGGGAAGGGGTGAGAATAAA